CCGCTGATAAACTGCTTGTGCGGGACAGTATGAAATCAGCCATCCGCAGCCCGAAGCTGGAGATCTGGCCATTTGTCCGCCTCTGGTTGATAAAACGGCCATTGCGGCCACTGGCTTGGTCCTTGCCCTTGATAATCTGGGCCGCCCGTGTTGCGACATAGGCTTTGGGCCGCATATGCCACAGCGGCCTCCAAGATCCCCGCGCTTTGCGTCGCTCGGAAATTTGTTTCGGGAAGCCGGGAAGCCCGTCGGGCCAGCCCCCCAGCGCCAAAATAACGGAGCGTGCGCGAGCGACGGCGGGAAGCTTCGCCCGGAAAACTGTTTCGAGAAGCCTGACGGGCCAGACCCCAGCGCCAAAATAACGGAGCGCGCGCGTGCGCCGGCGCGGGTTTGCCATGGCTGTCGGCGTCCAAGATCCCCTTGCTCGGAAACTTGTTTCGGGAAGCCCGTCGGGCCACCCCCCAGCGCCAAAACGACGGAAGCGAGCGCGAGGGAGGCTGTCGCAGAAGCTTTGGCCGTCGAGCCTGACAGGCCAGCTCCCAGCGCCAAAATTGCGGAAGCGAGCGCGAGCGACGCGCCCCCTCCGAGGCTGTCGCGGAAGCTTCGGCCGTCGCCCAGAAAGTTTTCTCGAGAAGCCCGACGGGCCCGACCCCAGCGTCAAAACGACGGGAACGAGCTTTCGGGCAGCCCGACGGGCCAGACCCAAGCCCAAACCTTCGACGATTCGATCTTCGCATCGCAAAAAATGGCACGCGACGCGCCCGGGCCGGGTTTCTGCGAACCCTAAACCCTAAAAGGTTTTTGCTGTGGGTGGTCAAGGGGTGGGGATGCCGCTTTCGCCGCGCGCCCCCACAACCCCCAGGGTCGAGGGCGCGCTTCATCTTGGAAACCCTAAACCCTAAACCCTAAACCCTAAACCCTAAACCCTAAACCCTAAACCCTAAACCCTAAACCCTAAACCCTAAACCCTAAACCCTAAACCCTAAACCCTAAACCCTAAACCCTAAACCCCTAACCCCTAACCCCTAAACCCCTAACCCCTAAACCTAACCTTCTAATGACTTTTAATATACTTTTAAAAGTAAAAAAAGCCAAAACGGTTCGTACCGGTGCGCCTAAAACTGGGACTACTTAATGCTTGGTTTTTGAGTTTCTGCGCGGTCCCTCGCAAGCTTCCTAAATCCTGCTTCGCTGCTCGAATCCAAGTTCGGGTCCAAAATATGCCATGCGCTAAAAAAAAAACATCCGCGCTTTTTCTTCTCTCCTCTTCTTCTCTCTCCTTCCTTCTCTCTTCTCTCTCTCTCATTTCTGGGACTTTCTCATCTTCCTTCTCTTTTTCTCTTCTTTCCCTCCTCTCTCTCTTCTTCTCTTCCTCTCTTCTTCCTTCTATTCTAGGCCGGGGCCGGCCTGCCCGCAAACGGGGCCGCGGCCGCGCGGGGCCCTCGCCGCGTGAAGTTTTGGTGGCCCGTTGGTCCTTCGTCGCGTCCGTCTCTGAAGCGGGTGGTCCCGGGCTCGGTTCCTCCCTGGCGCGCGCTTGGTCTGCGGCTGCCGGGCGTCGTTTTTCGTGCCACTGCCGTGGTTTTCCACTTCCGGGCGAAAACATGGCGCTGATGGACTTGCGCGATTGAAGCGCCCTTGCTGCGGCGCGGCGCTGATTGCGCCAGTCAGGAGACGCAAACTCAAAGCAGGCAAGCAACTAAGCGCTTCTCAGGGCTCGCTCAAGCTGTTTCCTCACAACTTTCTCTGCTTCCTGGTTTGTTTGCTTTTAGGTGCAAGATCCGTGGCTTCGGGCCAAGAAGCTGCTTCTTCTTGTTCGCCGCTCACCCTTGAACGCGCTTGTCAGCTGCTTTGTCGGTCGCCGCTTGTTGCTGTTGCTCTTACGTAACTTTGCCGCGGCGCGCCCGCCGCTCGCCGCTCTTTTGTTTTGTCGGCCGCGTGCGGAAGCTGGCGCTTGGAAGCGGGCCCTGGGTGGGTGGGATTAAGATCGAACCTTTTGACAAGCTTCGCTTTGAAAAATCTACGTCTTGAAATCTTTGAACCCTAAACCCTAAACCCTAAACCCTAAACCCTAAACCCTAAACCCTAAACCCTAAACCCTAAACCCTAAACCCTAAACCCTAAACCCTAAACCAAAAACCCTAAACCCTAAACCTAACTTCTAATTACTTTAATATTAATTTAAAAGTTAAAGCCAAACCGGTCGCGCCGGTGCGCCTAACACTGGGGCTTCTTGAAGCTTGTTTTTAAGTTCTGCATGTGCCTTGCGAGCTTCTGAATCTGCTTCGCTGCTCAAATCCAAGTTCGGGGCCAAAATTTGCACGCGCTAAACTTGCGCGCTTTCTAGGTCGGGGCCTGTTGCCCGGCGTGGGCCGCGGGCGCGGCGGGGTCCCGCCGCGGGGCTGGTGGCCCAGTGGTCTTGCGTCCGTCTCTGAAGCGGGTGGTCCCGGGCTCGGTTCCCCCTGGCGCGCGCCTTGTTTTGCATGGCCCCGCTGCGGTTTCGGGCTGGCCGGGCGTCGATTTTCGTGCCCCTGCCGTGGTTTTCCACTTCCGGGCGAAAACATGGTTCTGACGCACTCGCGCGATTGAAGCGCCCTTGCTGCGGCGCAGCGCCGTTTTTCTTCAGGCGCCAAGCCAGGAGTAGCAAACTAGAAGCAGGCAAGCCGTAGTTGCTTCTGAAGCGCTTCGCTCGCTGTTTCCTCACAAACTTTCTCTGTAAAACCTCTGCTTCCTGGCTTGTTTTCCTTGAAAGGCAAGATCCGTGGCTTCGGGCCAAAAAGCTGCTTCTTCTTGTTCGCCGCTCGCCCTCGAACGCGGCTTGTCAGCTGCTTTGTCGGTCGCCGCTTGCTGTTGCTCCTGTCTTACGTAACTTTGCCGCGGGGCGCCCGCTCTTTTTTTTGCGCCGGCTTTGTTAAGTTGCGCTGGCCGCAAGTGGAAGCTGGCGCTTGGAAGCGGGTCCTGGGTGGGTGGGATTGAGATCGAAACTTTTGATGAGCTTTGCTTTGAAAAAATCTACGTCTCGAAATCTTTGAACCCTAAACCCTAAACCCTAAACCCTAAACCCTAAACCCTAAACCCTAAACCCTAAACTTAAACCCTAAACTTGTTTATCTATATTAATTTAAACCCTAAAGGAAAGTGTGTTTAGTGTCCAGCGCTTTTTCAGCCCTCCAAAACGTTGGCCCTGTCAGCACATAAACCCTAAACTTTTTTCCCGATCCTCGTTTGCTGGCAGGGCCGTCATTTTGGAGCCTCTACTTGGCGAGCTGTTTTTCGTGGCCCTGTCGTGGTTTTGGGCCTCCGACCTTCAAAAACTCGTGGTTTTTTACGTTTTTCAATTCGCCCGCGCGACCCTCTGCGGACTTTGGGCCGGTCGACCTTCGAAAACTCGTGGTTTTTTGCGATTTTCAAATCGCTCGCGCGACCCTCTGCGGAGTTTCGCGTGGTCGAATCGCTCCCGCTGTGGCGCGGCGCTCATTTTCTTAAAGCTGCGAACCTTAAACCGTTGCCGAGCCAAGGGGATTTGCTCCAGAGCGTTCTTGGCACGAGCTTGAAATCGTGGCCGAGCCATTGGAATTGCGTCTGAAGCGCTTCTCATTCTTCGAAAACTCGTGGTTTTTTGCGATTTTCAAGTCGCCCGCGCGACCCTCTGCGGAGTTTAGGCTGGTCGACCTTCGAAAACTCGTGGTTTTTTGCGATTTTCAATTCGCTCGCGCGACCCTCTGCGGAGTTTCACGTGGTCGAATCGCTCTCGTTGTGGCGCGGCGCTTGTTTTGATGAAGGTGCGAGACCTAAACCGTTGCCAAGCCAGTGGGATTTGCACCAACGCAAACTAGCTGCAAGCTCGAAACCATCGCCAAGCCATTGGGATTGCTTCTGAAGCACTTCTCACCCAGCGCCAGCGCGCGGCTCAACTCAGCGCTGCTAGCGCGGCTCAACTTGCTTCGTCGAACTCTTGTTATTAAACTTTCTGTTCGAAAACTCTACTTTCGAAGCTTTTTTCGACCAAATCCAAGATCCTGTGGCTGATAGTTTGCGATTGAAAAGAACGCGATTCAGCCGCTCGGCAACGGGCTCCAACCTGGGTGGCCATTTGGCCCCCAAACTGGGGGCCATACGCCTCACGACCCTATCGTTTTTTTCACGGGGCCATTCCCGATTTTCACGGCCATATGGCTTTTTTCACGATTTTCACGGTTTTCACGGTTTACACGGTTTTCACGCCTTTCACGCGGACGCGCCTGGTCTGTCACCACTCCGAGCCAAATGCGCCCCAAGCTCGAAGGAAAAAAACCGAATTGCAGTTTGGCTCAGGCCGCGGAGGGGAAAAAAACGCGACAGTTGGCTCAAAACAAGCTTGCAGTTTGGCTCAAGCCGCGGAAGGAAAAAAACGGCAGTTTGCTCAAAGCTTGCAGTTTGGCTCAAGCCGCGTGGAAAAAAGGCGACAGTTGGCTCAAAGCCTGCAGTTTGGTTCATACCATGGAAAGGAAAAATGCGACAGTTGGCTCAAAGCTTGCAGTTTGGTTCATACCGCGGAGGAAAAACATCGTGACAGTTGGCTCAAAGTTTTGGGTTTTTGCTGGATGAGAGATGCCACTTTTTTGTTGAAGGCTCTTTTTTGGAAGCTATCAGCGTAAAAACCTGTGCGATTTGCGATCAAGCAAAGAATTCTTCTGTGAAAAGGGTCCGGCCCAAGAAGAGAATTTTGGGCGAGGTCGAGGTCGTTTTTCTGTTGGGAACATGTACCAACAAAAGGGGTGCGTGTATTTCTGAAAAATCCGTGACGAAACCCACGGACACCCTCAGCGCCTGAAGAGGCTCCAAAACTGTTCACGCTTGCTGTAGATCACGCAGGCCCTAAACCGGTATACTTGTGTTTGGTTTCGATTTACAATGAAAACATGTGACAAAGACGGTTCCGCAGCCCTGTAATCAAAATGGAACAACCTTGGTAAACCAGCGCAAACCACAGAAACGCAAACCGCTGACCCTTAAAGCACCCCTCACGATGGCCCTTTTTTGTTGCACATATCAAACTTCTGCGGCAAAGCAAGGAGCCACCGCTGCAGCATGCGTAGTTGCGCTGATCTAGGGTCCGTTTTACGGAGCACCTTCATTTGTTTTTTCAAACTGTCCTCATCCATCCAAGTTGAAAATGAATTTGGGTTGGAGAAGGACTGGGGACTTGACAGCAGTATGTGATGCAACAAGTGCAGCTTTGGCCGCACTCGCCAACAACGCTCGTTGTTCTGAATGGAATCAAACGCAAGGGAAAGGTAGATCGTCACAAAAATTTTGCCAACGACAACTTTGTTGTCTTGCTCTTCCGGGGTAAGCCACCTCCCAGCACGAGACAAAAGGGACAGGACAAGGTTAATGGCCCACATCATAGTGGCCCATTTGTTGATTTCATCATTCCTGCCTTGGGCAAGGGAAAGAACGTGGCCAAGCCACCGGGAAATCACGTAAGTGTCATAGCTTGATGATTTCAGTTCAGGAAACGACTTCTTTTTCCAACTAATCTTAGCTTTGGAAAACCGCTTCATTCTAAGGGGAAGCTTGTGCAAGGCTGCGTACTCTTTGAGTTGCTTTGTCGCCGCCTGCATTTTCGCAGGAATGTTGTTTCCTTCAAAAAAGACAGTTGGGTATTTGGACATCATGAGTTTCAGAAGTGCTCCGCAAGCATCCCGACCAACACCGAGGTGATATACGTGCAATAGGTCCGCGTGAATCATGCCAGGGCCAGAAAACCCCACCAAGGTTGCGTAGGACGGGGATTGGCTCCAAGGGTCCTCCAAGCCAATGGTGCCCCAGAAAGCCGCGCTGTCTCGGGCATCCGTAAAGATCAGAGGAGATTGATCATCATCTAGCCCTTTGCAGGCTTTGCACAGCCAACATATCTTCAGGGTCAAACAATCACTCACGAATGCGTTTTAAGCGCCATTCCTAATTTGACAACTGCTTGCCTCATCCGTGCTGGCGTGCCGGCGCAGGTTGAATACCTGTTTGAGGGCTTTCCAATCTCCACGGAACCCGGTGATGAAGCAATGCAGGGTTGCAACCTGGCCACGGACATTACTTGATTTGAAATTAGCAGGAACTGACAAACTCAAAATGCGTTGTGCGAGCTAGCAGCCAAAATGCTTTCCTCGGATGGGAACTCCCTGAGATCCACCCCTTCATTTGCAAGCTTGTTGAAAGAGTCCGCTATGATTTGGCAAGCTCCTTGAAGTGTCTCGTTAACCCCCGTGTCCTGGTTCAGCACGTATCGGCTTTCCGGAAAAATGGTCATCAAGAATCGAGATGCCCCTGCGTCCGTCAAGTACGGCGACAAATCGCTGGTGAAAATGAGATGCATCCAATTGTCATTCAAGCTCTGGGCTTCATCACCTAAGGTTCTTAGAGAGGATGCGACGGTGTGAAGTGTGAATCTGCCCCAGCAAGTTTCTACTTGTTCATGGCCAACCATGTCGAGTTGCAGTAAAGAGTGAACCCAAGAGATCGTAGGCGTTTGTCCCCATCCGCGGCAGGGTGATCGGGGAAATCTTTCAGAAAGTGCTCCCAGAAGCCTGGAATGTCTTTGACATCGCCCACCAAAACGTTGAGGTAGCCTTCGGCCACAAGGGTGCGCACCTTACCCGCAAAAACACAGCCCCTCACAGGGATTGGAAAAACATATTGAAGCATGTCTTGTAAGTGCAGCAAAGTTGCAAATTCATGGGGAAGAATAAACGGCCATTCCACCAGACTAGCAGCTGCATCCAACTCAGATGATTCCCTCAATAATATTGGCACCATTGTGATGGGGCAAGGTAAGCTTACACGAGCTTTTTTGGCTCTTTCGTGAAGCCCTCTTTCTCGTTGTGACCTGCGCAGAGCAAAGCAGAGCGTGCAACAACCCGGAACCCTAAGTTTGATTGGCACGCTCAAGTGCAGTTTAGGTTCGTAAAGAGATCGCTATCGTAAACCCGCGCCAGGGATCGAGCATGATTGACACTCGCTTGGCCAGACCCAACTGTGTAGGCCATCCTGATTGCGGTGTTCGTTGCATCATAAGTTTGTGAATGGTCCGCCCAATGGTTGTGAACGATTGCGCATCGCGCACGTCCCGTGATGCACGCGTAAGTGTGTGTGTGTGTGTGCGCGCAGGCGCACGCATGCGCGTTCGGGCGTGCGTGCGTTGCGCAACACGTGTGTGTGTGTGAGCATGTGAATGCAGGCGCGCATGCTCCCTTGCTTTTCTGGGTGCTTGTGTTTGTCCGTTTGTGTGTGTGTGTTTTGCGGTCGGGCGTATATATGTGCGTGTGCTTGTGTGTTGTGTGTGTGGGGGGGGGGGGGGGGTGGGGGTTTGGGGGGGTGCGTGTCTGCACTTTTGCTTTGTGTGTGTGTGTGCGATCATGTCTGAATGTGTGCGCGCGCGTGTGTGTGTGTGTGTGCGCGCCCACGTGTGTGTCATCCCTGCGTGTATGCGTGCGCGCGCTCATGTCTGTGCACACATGTGTGAGCAACATAAAGTGTTCTTGTATGTGTGTGTGTGTGTGCGTGCGCATTTGCACATATATATATATATATGTATTGTATGTGTTTGTGTTTTATTTAGCTGTTATTTCTGTATTTTCAAGTGTGTGCTACATACTTGCATGTTTTTGAAGACTGCTGAAGCATCCATGCGATCCAGTGCGTGTCAAGCGTCGCTTCGTCGAGCTCCTCCCTCAATCTTGCCAACGCTGTGCTGGCACTAGAACCTGCGCAGGCGCTTAAGGCAAGACTCCAAGAGACCGCTCAATGCAACGGCTCAGCATGGCTCGGGCAAATGGCAGTCAAGGATGGAAAGGCGCTTTTTTCCCAACGCTGATTTGATGCTCAAAGTGAAATGCCCCCATGGCAACATATGCTATAGCGGCACTGCCGCTCATGTTGCCCAAATTGGCACACCTCAGTGTGACCTACCATATGGTCAGCCAGACTTGTCAGCCTTGCTGGCTTGCTGGCTGCCACCTTTCTTGAGCTCAGAAATGATTGCTCGAGCCTGTGCCCGGGCCATGCGAACTTCGTCCATCAAATCCTCACTGCGTCCCTTCAACGTGTAGAGACCGTCCTCCGTGGAATCCTTCAGCCTCAGATGAGTGGGGCAATGAAGGATGTTGAAAGGTTACACTCCACACCTGACCTCGGACAAGGCGCACATCGAGCATCTGCTCGATCCGCCCCTTGAGCAGTTCAAGCTCAGATCTCAGTGGGTGAGATTTCGGGAGCTCCAAGAGCACGCCAGTGGATTTGTGCTCTTTCAGCAATAAAGCCCGCAACGTGTCCCTGACTTCCTCCCACGAGCACGGGCCTTGCTGCTGAGTACCCTTGGCCTTCTTCTTTGGCGCCTTGCGCTTGGACTGTCCTGACACAGCAAGAGGGCTGCTATTTAACATGAGTATTTTGATGGGCGCTTGAGCCAGTCCTGCAACGCCAGGCGCCGCACCTGTAGCTGGCGCCGCTGCAGGATTGAGGAGGTTCAGCATGCTTTGCAGCGACGGCTGATCTGCGCTGCCCGGGGTCGCCTCCTGGTGGCTTTCCAACATTGCTGCCAGCCCTGCTGCCGTGGGATCCACTGCCGTGACAGCTTCTGCCTCCTGAGAAACAGTCTGCCGATCCACCATCTCCGCCCCACACGTTGCCCAGTAGCGCATGCTGGCTGGGTCGTTGGGTGCGTCTGGGTCTGGCAGCCCTCCACGTTTGATCAGGTTCTCGATTTTGGCCCTAGGGAGCGAAGAATCTTAAAGAAGCTGGCAGCAAGCAAGTGAACGTGCGAGGAAAGGCAGGCTTAGTGAGCCACGAAGCGCGCTAAATCCAGCAGCCCGCATCTCAGCTACCGTCATCAGCTTCTTGCTGGCAGCAACTTGGGACTCTTGCTTCCTCTTGATGACCAAGGAAGCTTCAACCTTCTGCATGACCTCACCCGAAGTGACCCACTGCTTGAGCAACTCGTTGCGATCCTGGCAAAGGCGCTTGCATGTTGAACAAAAACGTCTCTGATCACGGGTCCTTCTGCGACCCCGACCACATCTTCGCCATGTGGGGGCAGCTGGCCGAGTACGAGCCGGACTCCATCCTCCGCATCAACGACATCCACTCACGTTTGTGAGTGGACGTGTTGATTTTGAGGATAGGGACTGTTGGCTTGGATTGATCATCGCCCCCAAGCTGATCAGAGGCATCATCACTTGCGTCGTAGTCCAGGGACTTTGGGTTCACTGGCTCCGCACGCTTTCCAACCTTGAACTTGTCCCAGCCAGCCCACACCTTGTCGGACTTTGACGCTTCCGGCTGGCTGGGCATGCTGGGCTCGTCTTGCTCGTCCGTTTTCGTAGCGTCGGCCAACGGTGTGAGAACCACACTCTGGTTGCTGGCGGCCAAGACGTTGTTCAGGATGCGAACGATTTGTTGGATGGGGTCGCCCTCGACAACCGCAGAAGCACTTGGCCCAAGCCTGGGCGGGCTACGCGCGTGTGTTTGAGGGTGGGTGGCAATTTCCATTGACTAAAACACGCGATCCCTGCCAAGAGGCGAGGAGACTGGAGACGTCTCAGCCGCCTTCCTGCCAGAAGCCGTGGTTCCACCGTTCTGCTTCTCAACCTCGTCCTGCCCCAGTAGTAGCGTCGTGCATGACCTGGCGTTCAGTACTTGGCTTAAGCAACGCACGCTTAGTTTGCAAATCGTGAAGCTTCCAAATCACAAACAAAGCCACTGCGCAATTGTAGAAAATATCCAGGCAACCCGAGGGACCCAAGGCGGTCCAGCGCAGGTGGCTCAGCAAGCGCCGTTGGGGACTTATCCGTCAGGGCCTTGCAGAGCTTCTTGTTCGGAACGGATGCCTCATCGTTGGCACGCTTGCCAGGGTTGGAGGCCGTTTTGCTGGCGGCGCTCTCGGACTCAGCTGCAAGAGTGTTGACCTCCATGATCTTGCCGAGCTCTTTGGCGTTGTTGACGGACTTGTCATTTGCCTCCGTAGGAGGAGAAAAAGAGGCCGGGCGGGACTGCAAGTAGCTGGTGGGAGGAGGACCCAAAACTGACATCAAGGCTGCCTCGGCATCCTCATGGTTAAGTCAAAAACGTGCATCAGCTCCTCGATGTTCTCCCACGAGTTGAGCTCGTTGCCCGCCGCCGGCTGGCTGGCCTTCTCCTTGCCCTCGTTCACCTTCGCCGCCTTGCTCTCGTTGGCCACGTTGCCCACAGCCGCCGTCGCGCTAGCCGGCTGGCCAGCCTTCGCCGCCTTGTTCTCGTTCGCCTTGGCCGCCTTCTCGTTGACCGTCGCACTCTCGTCAACCTTGCCCTCGTTGACCTTTGCCGCCTTGCCCGCGTTCGCCTTGGCCGCCTTGCCCTCGTTGACCTTCGCCGCCTTGCCCTCGTTGACCTTCGCCGCCTTGCCCGCGTTGACCGCCGCCCTGCCCTCGTTGACCGCCGCCTTGTTCTCGCTCGCCTTGGCCGCCTTCTCGTTGACCGTCGCACTCTCGTCGACCTTTGCCGCCGTGCCCTCGTTGACCTTCGCCGCCTTGCCCTCGCTGACCTTCGCCGCCTTGCCCTCGTTGACCTTTGCCGCCATGCCCGCGTTGACCGCCGCCTTGCCCTCGTTGACCGCCGCCTTGCCCGCGTTCGCCTTGGCCGCCTTCTCGTTGAGCGTCGCGGTCACTTCAACCACGTCGTCGCCCTCGCGGCTCTCCTCCTCCTCGGCCTCAAAGTGGTCGTTGTCGGTGGCCTCGCAGCTCTCCTCCTCGGACTCTTCTTCAACCATGTGAGAGCGCTCGGGCTGCGAGTCCTCGAGCATGGGCAGTGTGTCCATGGCGTCGGGATTCTGCAGCGTGCTCTTCTTGTGTAGCCGTCGAGGAGGCAAGCTTGCGGCCACCGCAGTGCGCTTCCGCTCAGTCGCTAGCTCTTTTTGGCGGGCCTGTGCTGCGTCATCCATTTTCTTCTGCAGCATGCTTGAGGTCGGCAACCGAGACTGTGGACATGATGGATTGACGCGCCTGGTTCCTAAATGCAAGAAGATCTTGCGCAATCGGGCGCTTGCAAAATCGACTTGACCCACAAGCGCAGCACAATGCTCATCGCATTGGGCAATGACGTGAGGAAAAAAGGTGGAAAAAGCGCATTAGCCTCCTAAGCAGGTAAAGCGATTCTGAGCTAGGCCATGAAATATGCAAAGCGCAGCATGTTGTCAGTTAGCTCATCAATCAGTTAACCAAACAACAAGTCCATCAATCAAGCAACCAGGACATGGACAAAAAGGAACAAAAGGTCCCAAACATTTGCCGTTGGAAGGGTTGGGGGCTGGGATGAAGGGCAGGGGGAGAGGTGACCAAGGAAGGGAAAAGGGGAACTCAATTACCATTGCCAGTTTGTGTGTTTTATCAAAACATGAGTCTAGGTGATGCTGGGGGTGGCCAATGTTTTGCGGTGAGCTTTGACCAGAGGAGGGGGCATGACTAGGGGTGATAGGGTGTGAACATGCATGAAATCTAGTCTACATTGGACTCGGTGCACAGAAGCATGGAAATGGCGCGAGATGTGCGAACATGTGTGCAAACTGTGCACCATGTGAAGAGGTGTGAAAGGGTATGAGATGTGTGAAAGCACGCACACACGTGAAACATGTAACAGTGTGGCATGAACAAGTGTGAAAAAGCGAAAACTGTGAAAAAGTGTGAAAATTGTGAAAAAAGTGTGAAAAGTGTGAAACTACACGCCACACGACAGAAACCTAGTCTAGTTTGCACTCGGCAAAGAGTAAAAAAATGTGAAAAGAGTGAAAAAGTGTGAAAAAAATGAAAGTGTGTGAGAAAAACGTGAAAATGTGTGAAATGTGTGAAAAAGTGAAAAATATACAAAAGGGGGCGTGCGTGCTGGTGGTCGCGATTGCAGGGTGTAGTTTTCACGAATTTCACGGCATTTTCACGTCCAAGAGCCAAATTTTCACGTCCATTTCCCGGAATTTCACGGCCTGCGCCCCTGAAGCTTGCAAGTGCCCTGTTCCACCCACCGGCTCGCAATGAAGTGCAGTTGGGTAACACGATAGACCCCGACTCAAACTAAGGCTTGGTAACACCAAGGCCCCCGCCCAGCTTTGCGCTGAATTTGCGAAAATATATTCACATCACGTGTGTTCAGCTCATGAGCCCAAGAGCTTCCATGACTTGATCCTGGGCTCTGAGATGAAAAGCGCAAACCGGTAGGCAAGCAAGCCAACGTCATTGTTAGCCAGGGCGCCCAGCGACCAGGAACACATAGAAATTTGCAGCCGGACAGGTACTTGACCACTGATTCCAAATCAGCCTTGGGCGCCATTCACACGAATAGTCAGGAGCACACGTTACATTGGCCAGGTAGCATCGGCCCAGCCATCCCCCAATCGGTCTAAGCCTTCGCCGGAGCTTTGCACGCAAAACTTCTCAAACAGCTCAAAGTCTGTGAGGTCATTCGGAAGGTCACAGGGATGCTTTGGTCCAGGGGTGTTGTCCTTAGCCGCACACTGGAGAATAGGAAACCCTAGGCGGTGACTTGAAGGCGACTGGGTTTAAGGTGCAGCCTGGAAACATTGTGCAAGCTCATAGCAACACGCGTCAGAAATTTCCCGAATTGTTTGGTGTAGGTCCTGGGCCATGGCAAGTCAAGGGTTGGTTATAGACTAGGCTCCAAGCAAAACTTGTATATTGAGAATCAATTCAAGTAAGCAATTGAAGGCAAGGCGCTGAGACGCACGAAGGGCATCCCTTTTCCCTTGAAATCTCTTGGCCCCATTCCGATCAACATATTTAGTAACCAGCTGCGTAGAGCTCGCCAGTTTTTGTTGCTCATCTCGCGACATGTGCCCAGCTCTTTCATTCAAAGCATCCACTAGCTTTTTGGAATTTGACCAGACACGATGGCGTTTGGGCGTGGGCCCACCAAAGGCGCCCATGTAAAAGATGCCGCTGAAAGCCTCGCAAACGAATGTTGACTGTGGGGGGTTGCAAGCAGGAAACCATTTTGACTTTTCAGCAACAAGCCTCCATATTGGTCCAAATAGTTTGCCAGCGTGGCATGCGTGGCAAAAAGCTGCCATCTGGTTGCTCAACTAACCAAACCAGCTTCTTCCAAGCGCACAGGTAAAGCATTGCGGCCACCCGTGATGAAAGTTTGTTGCCCTCATCGACGAAGACATAGCCAGAATTACCTTGTGGCCGCAGCACTGTGCGCCCCGCTGTGTGTCGAGACCTGCCAGGGCACTTGTGAACCCACAGGTACCTTGCCAAAAGGTAGGTGTTGCCAATGTGGGGCGCACATAACCGTTTTAAAGCGACCAGCTTTTAACAACCAGGCCGACAAGGCCGTGTTTCGTCGATGATGCAACACTACAACACATGTTCAGGAAACATTGATGTGTCAACTCAAAAACAGGCATGCCGCAAAAAGTGGTAAACACGTTCCACCGCTTTAGCGTTCAGGCCACAAAGCACAGCTGCCGTGAGCCTAGCGCTGGCAACGCGCACACAGACACACACGCGCGTGCGCGAACCAACAAAGCCAGACAGAGAATCAATAACCAAGCAGCCAAACCAACCAACCAACAAACAAACAAACACAAACACAAGCTAGACAGCCCTAACTCAAGCATAGATGGTTTTGGCAAACCACTGATCACACATGGGATCACATATTTCTCGAGGCTCCGAAACGAGTACACTTTGGGAAAACGGAACAGCCACAAAGATCACAATGATTCAAACAAACTAACAAAGAAACAAACTAGTAGCAAACAAACAGAAGTGCACAGATTATATACACAAGCACACGACAGATACGAAAAGAAAAGAAAAGAAACGACACAGAAAAAAAACACCGCAAGAAAGAAAAAACAAAACGAAAAGAAAAAAGGAAAGAAAGAAGACAGAAAGAAAGAGAGAGAGAGAGAGAGACAACACAGAACAAAAAAGACACAAACAAACGAAGGAACAACAACACAACACCTAAAGAAGGAATAGAAAAAAGCTGACAGAAGTAAGTCAATAAAGAATTGAATACGCCAAACAAAGAAAACAAGAAAGGAAGGAAGCAAGGAAGGGACGAAGGCCAGAAGGAAGGACAATAAAGGAAGAGAGCAAGGAATAAAAGAAGCCAAAAAAGAACAAGCAGGACAGGGACAAGACAGAAAGAACAAAGAAAAACGCCCTTGAGGTGATAGTTGCAGACCTTGTCGCCAGACAGGGTCGTTCTTTTAACCGAATAGTTGCAGACCCTCTTTTCGTCAGACAGGGTCGTTCTTTTAACTGAATACGTCCCCAAAAGTGTGTGTTGGGGACGTATCCCTTGGGGTGATAGTTGCAGACCTTGTCGTCAGACAGGGTCGTTGTTTTAGTTGCAGACCTTGTCGTCAGACAGATTCGTTCTTTTAGCATATGACTACTCATTGGAGAAATTGGCCCCCGCAAGTGATTCAGGACCTTGAGCCTGGACCTCGAGTTTGGCCCCCTCAACCCTACAGCTTTCGTGGGTCCTGAATGGACTTGCGGGGGCCAATTTCTCCAATCAGCAGTCATATGCTAAAAGAACGAGCCTATCTGACGACAAGGTCTGCAACTATTCGGTTAAAACAACGACCCTGTCTGACGACAAGGTCTGCAACTATCACCCCAAGGGATACGTCCCCAACAAACACTTTTGAGGACGTATTCGGTTAAAAGAACGACCCTGTGTGACGACAAGGTTTGCAACTATCACCCCAAAAACAAAGACGACCTTGTCTAACGACAAGGTCTGGCACCATCAACCGTCCAAGGACACAGTCGAGATAGTTGATCAAGGGGATGGGAGGGCGGGCAAAAATTCACTGCTATTCAGTGCATTCGCAACGAAAGGGGAACCCACCACGCCCACCCACTTTGAGAGGAAAGACAACGACGGCTTTTTGATTTATCATGCACAAATGACATGCCTCGTCGCAAATAAAAACTTAGTAGACCACAAGGGAGGATTCACTAACAGCCTTAGTGAATTCCCTTCGGTAGAGAAAAAGGGGGCTCAGAAATAAAGACACATCCACCTTTGGTTGACGTTAGTCAGAACTCAAGAATGGAAGAAAGAGAAGGGAAAAGCAAGAGAATAAAGCATCGCAGCAAAAACGCACACGTTGCACACTGGCGTGAGATCACACACGTGGCGCGCGCGTTAGAATGTACTTGCCCACGTGCGTTTTTGTCAACTACGCGCACGCACGTTTGAGCACGGATTGCCGAACCCGGCCCGCGGTAGAGCTGAACTCAAGCAAAACAAGCCACTATATTTGTTTGCAACCGGAAGGCATAACATGGGAGGCACGACTGGGGAAGCTCAGAACATTTGGCATTAAAACGCATGTTGCTTGCTCCGGTCAACCCTTCTTAGCGCACTACCATGCATCTAGCCGCTTTAAGAAATAACCTAACAGATAGCGCACGATGATGGTTTGTTTGTTCTTTTTTTGCGGCATGCTTTGAGCTGCATGTCGCACCAGGTGAGAACCAATTAGGCCAGGGTGAGAAGCAGGTTGGGACACACACGCTTGGCTCTTTTCGGCGAGCTTTTGGGGCAGGCTTCACTGTTTAACATGCAAAGCAACAACAACGGTCAGTGTAGATCATCACAGCGCTGAATCTTGACACGGATGTGACCATGTGCGAACAAGCAGCGTAGTGCAGAAAGAGTTGCAGCAGATCGCGATGACCACCAGAGAGCCAGGCACGCAGCGGCAAATCTCGCTCACCGCTAGACTTAGTCCAGCATTGCCAGCAGCGCTTAAAAAAGAGTGTTTTTCAAAATGAGGCCAAAACAAGAAGCGCTTGGAGTACTTGCAGGCAGGCTGCGCAAATCCACTTGGCGTAAGTAGATCAAAGCAGCGAGCGATCCAGGGCCGCTCCTCTTCGATTCTCCTAGGTGCAAGACAAGGGATACCGCAGCGCAGGTTTGACCAGGCAACCTGCAAAAAACACGCAAGAGGAACACGCTCCTCCCATTGCGCTGCCGAGAACGCATGCTGCCCTGCGAACAGCTCCAGGAAGTGCCTGTCCTGCAGCAAGCGCAAGCTGAACGAAACGAGCCCAAACGTCAAAGGCCAACCTTCAAAACACAAGAAAAAACGTAAGCCCAAAAACAAACTGAGGGCACATGTTATAAAGAACCCCTCTTTGGAAACACACGCAGTCCTCCCTATGCGTAATACGGGTGTTCCAGGCCAGAAGCAGCACGATCAAAATTAGGATTGGAGGGCAACGCCATGCCAGCAACTCACGCACCGTCATAGCTACGAACTGCCAGAGCTCGAAATGCACTCAGCGTGGACAAGCAAGAACTGACACGATCAAGGAAACGGGGTTTGCGCACTGCACGCAATTGAATGGCGTGAGCCAAGCAAAGCGCTTCTTTTCCCATGCTAGCCCCAGCGTATCAGAGGGTTTCCTCTGATGATTCCCCATCATTTTCAAGCCCAAGGGTTCGTTTTGGCACCTTTGCCAACGAACCGCCTTTTTTGGAGCTCACCAACAGACAAATGCTGCAAAAAATGCTTTTTCGTGGCCGATTGGTCCCACAAGCTCTTGGCTTCTTTGTAGGAGGTGCCCCCACGCCTTAAATCTGCAATGAATTGTTTTCGCGAGGAAGCGTATTCGTGAGCAGCATGCTTCGCGCGCGGCTTCTTTGCACCCAAAGCCTTTTTAGCAACGCGTTGTTGCTTCTTGCGCTTTGCTAAAGGCACGCTTTTGTCGGGTTCGTCCCCCCCCGGTTCACTTGTATCATTTTCAGCCTCGGCTGCCTCACCCCCCTGGTTTTTCAAGTACTGCCGGCTCAGCGCAAATGGCGGCGACTCCTTGCCCAAGAAGCTGCCCTTCAAAGTGTCCAGAACCTGAGGCAGGTATGAATCCCCCACCCTGGAGCAAGAAATTGTGCAAGAGAAACAAACACTTCCGCACTATGATTTTGCCCAGTAGCAAAGGAAGGAAGAAGTTGACCCCCCGCACCACCATGTCCTTCTTTGTTGGCGACACTACTGGAAGCGCATTTGTTCAGAGCGCCAGCGTCCGAAGGAGGGCAGGATGATGCTGATGTGCACGATTTCGCGCTGGTGGATGGGCAAGTGGCGTTACCCTTCAAAAAGGCAATAGCACGAGCAAGGTTAGGAGACGTGCCCGCTGTGGGCCCCTGCACTGCTAAAGGGGGTGGAGAGTTCTCGTTGGGTGGGTTCTTTTTTTTGATTGCTTCCCAAGCTTGGAGTTGTTCAACCAAACGCCGAACCCGGTCATCTTCGTTCTTGATGCTGGTGTTGCACAGGCTGAATGTGCCCGAAGAGGTCCGGCTTAGCGTTGATAGCTCGGAGAGAGTGTCAGAAGAACCCAGCCCATCTTCATCAACAGACTTGGTGGATTTTTCCTTAGCCAAGCAACAAGCTCTTCCATTCAACCTTGTGAATTTTGCGGTAAACCGGTCACAGCCCTAAGCAAACCCGACAATAAACTAGTTGCTAGCCAATCCCAAGCTACCGTGAAAGGGAGGTGCAGCGTCTCAAGTCGGGCTCGAAGATCGTTGAGGGCTTTCATCTTTGAAGCTGAGGATCGCCGCAATAGGCGTCTCGTCCTTCCGACCTAGGCCCACTCCAAGCTGACGCAACACAACATTCAAATGATCCATGGCAATATGCTTTTTGGGCTAACCAAGGCTGATGCCATTTTCTTCAAAGCATACGCTTGGCGAAGACTCCACTCTTGCACGCATTGAGCTTCTGCGCGTAGGCCAGGTGGGTGTAATCTATGCGTTGTCATAAACAACAAAAGGCCATCCTTGATAGCAAAAGCACTGAGGCGAGCGCGCCCCTTCGAACCTGCAAAGACTGCGTAGATGGCCTAGGGCTTGGCCGTGCCATCATGCGACAGAAGGAGTTGGCCAAGTAGTTTCAGCTACAAGTGGACCCCGCCCAGGCCTGCTGGTTGGCCACCAAATCGCGCAAACTGCATTTTCCAGGCTTGAACAACTTGCCACTGGCGTCTGCCACAATGGCTAAGCCAACCTAGAGGAGCGACACAAACAAAAGCATCAACCGAACGCGCAAAAAACACATTTGACTATGACAAACGGGGGCACAAATTAGCGGACATTAGAATCACAGACAAACCAGCCACCGCCCCCACCACTGCAAAAAAAAGAGTTCATGCCCAGCCTCCTTAAGTTTCGCCTCCGCGGCAAAAGCTTTCGCGAAAGCTTTGGCCATGGGACAAACAGTCTTGGCCATCGCAGCAGATGTATGCACATGTTCTTAAGTGTCACACACGCATGCGTCGAACCTCACCGTTAGACCGCCAGTGTTTGAGACCATGTTTTGCCACTCGCGAGAACCCTCCGTAAGCCAAAACTGGCTGGCAGCGCAGCAGCACACTCGCCACCAACTCTCCTCAGCTCAAGGAACAACAGGGGCAAAGGGAGGGCGCGCCTGAGGTCACTTCGTAGATCCGCGCCTGCCAGTCAAGTGCAAACTGCAGAGTCCACTGAAGCACAATCTGAAACACAGGTCAGGCCCGCCATCTAGATTTGAAGCGTAGGCGCCACACAACGCACCGGTCCTCAGAGAGCAACAATTGAGCCCAAGCGTTGGTGGCTCCCCAGAGTCGAAACCAGCCCAAAAGCAAGACCATTTTGCCAAGTCGCTGCATCAGGAGGCCATAGCTCACGAGGTTCCCGCAAGCTCTCATACAAAGTGGATGGATAGCAGATCATTGTTGGAAAACATTTGGATTTGTTTCTAAGTTGTGGGACCCTCAATGTTGGATTTTAGCTTGGGTTTCCCTCCAAACCGCCCCAAAAGGAGCGCCCTCAAGCAAATGCAAACACATGTAGGTGAATCCACACGTGTGTAACGTGATGTTTTAGTGAGTTGCGCTGGACCAAGCGGGGTGGCGCGCAGCTGTGCATTTTTGGCATCTCCAAGCTCAAAGCTACAAACCCTTTCCCCAGTGGAAGATCCCCTCACTCAGCTTTGAAACTGACATCTATGAAACACGCATTGGTTTTATAAGTATGTTTGGGAGCAGCGTTTGTCACAAGCCCAGAGTTGCTCAAGCGTACTTGTGGTTTGTCAACTTTGCCCGCCACACGCGCACGCACGCTTTCCCTCTCTGACACACACACAGACACACACACACACACCGGCATGCATGCGCGTGCGCAAACAAACAAGCAAATCACACGAACCAGCAAGCAAAAAAAGCAACTCAACACAAATCAGCACAACTAAACAGACAAGCAAAGCAAGCAAGCAAGCAAGCAAGCAAGCAGGCAGGCAGGCAGGCAGGCAGGCAGGCAGACAGACAGACAGACAGACAGTCAGAGAGACAGAGGCAGAGTGACAGAGACACAGAGACAGACAGACAGACAGGCAGGTAAGCAACCAAACAAACAGGCAGACAGACAGACAGGCAAGTAAGCAACCAAACAAACAGGCAGACAGACAAGCAGGAAGGAAAGCAAACAAAACGGCCGACAGACAGGCGCACCAACTGACAAAGCGACAAACCAAAATAAACGCACAACCAAACAGACAAATACACAAGTTGATGTCACTTGCACCTTCATACTCGGCTGTCGCAGGGCCAAGTGAATTGTGGCAACTTTGGGGCCGCTTTTGCTCAAGGCCCTTGGGTGGATCTGCGCCACGCAGATTTTGGAGTCAGTTTCATTTTTTTCACGGTCTTCTTTTGGCCTAGGCAGGTTTCACGGCCATATGCTTTTTTCACGGCCATTTGGCCGTGCGGCCTCCGGCCCCCAAAATTAGAGCCAAACGGTCACCCACAAAAATTTGGCTGCCCAATGAAATGGGAGCTTGGGTGGGTGGTGTTTTTCAACTAGAACTGTGGGTGAAGCGCTCCTTGTGATTTGCTATCCTGGGATTTGGATTGACCCTAAACCCTAAACCCTAAACCCTAAACCCTAAACAGGCGAGCATGCCTCTGGCCATATACATGGGCATGCGAGCCGCCGGGCTCGAGGTCAAGCCGAGACGCCGTTGCAAATCTGAGGGCCTGCTAGGGTCAAGCCTAGCAGGACAACCGCTGTGCGGCTCTGCAAGTGGCACGACGACCCACACCCTCTGGCGCAGCCAGTATAGGATTACCCTAAACCGTACACCTTTTCCATGCGGGGGTCGGTTTGTGCACTGTTGATAACTTTTGCATACGGGTAATAGCGGGGACCTGCCCCGGCTGGGGGGGGGGGGGTACACGCCGCGCAAAAGGACTTTTTGTAGGTCGCTTCTTGCGCTGCTGATAACTTTTGCATACGGGTAATAGCGGGGACCTGCCCCGGCTGGGGGGGGGTACACGCCAAGCACAAGGAGCCTTGCAGATCCTTTCTTGCACTGCTGATAACTTTTGCATACGGGTAATATGGGGGACCTGCCCCGGCTGGGGGGGGGTGTACGCCAAGTACAAGGAGCCTTGTGGATGTTCTTGCGCGCCGAGCACAAGGACCCTCGTTGATCTCGCGGCGAAGCGTGCGCGCAGGTCACCCCCACGCAAGGCTCAGTTCTGCGGCTTGCTTGCAAACAACATCAACGCACGCTTGGCCGTGTTTGGGCAGCCGGTCTTGGCGCCTTGGCAACTCCACGCTTTGCAGCGCGACCCACGCCTGCGCAGGAAAAGGTTAGCGAAGCAAGCAGCTCTTGTGGACGCTGAGGATTATGTAGACGCCGTCTACATGGTACTTGCCGCCGCAGCCCACGCCCAGGCAAACACAGCGCGCGACGCGCTCGTGTGGAACCCGCCCCACGGATCAGGTAGACGGCGTCTACGTGGTGCTTGGCGGCCTGCGCAAGCCTGGGCAACTCCACGCACTCTGTCGTCCGCCCGCCTTGTGGGCGCTGAGGATTATGTAGACGCCGTCTACATGGTACTTGCCGCCGCAGCCCGCGCCCATGCCAGCGCAGCGCTTTGCAGCGCGACCCACGCCTGCGCAGGCAAGACGTTTAGCGAGGCAGGCAGCTGGCAGCCCAGCTGCTTCAGACGGCGCCACGTTGGCTTGGAACCCGTTCAAGGGTTCCACCTCGAATGGAACCCTAAACCCTAAAAGTCTTTACCTTGGGTGGCTGGGGCGGGCGAACTTGGCTACGCAAGGCGAGCGGCTTGGGGGATTTTATCCCCGAGCGAGCAACCACTTCTGCACACCCTAAACCCTAAACCCTAAACCCTAAACCCTAAACCCTAAACCCTAAACCCTAAACCCTAAACCCTAAACCCTAAACCCTAAACCCTAAACTTGTTTAACTATATTAATTTAAACCCTAAAGGAAATTGCGGCTAGTGAACTGAGCTTTTTCGGCGCTCCAAAACGTTGGCCCTGTCAGCCAATAAACCCTAAACTTTTTTCCGACCCTCGTTTGCTGGCAGGGCCATCATTTTGGAGCCTCTACTTGGCGAGCGGTTTTTCGTGGCCGTGTCGTGGTTTCGGGCCGCCGACCTTCAAAAACTCGTGGTTTTTTGCGATTTTCAAATCGCCCGCGCAACCCTCTGCGGACTTTGGGCTGGTCGACCTTCGAAAACTCGTGGTTTTTTGCGATTTTCAAATCGCCCGCGCGACCCTCTGCGGACTTTGGGCTGGTCGACCTTCGAAAACTCGTGGTTTTTTGCGATTTTCAAATCGCCCGCGCGACCCTCTGCGGACTTTGGGCTGGTCGACCTTCGAAAACTCGTGGTTTTTTGCGATTTTCAAATCGCCCGCGCGACCCTCTGCGGACTTTAGGCTGGTCGACCTTCGAAAACTCGTGGTTTTTTGCGATTTTCAAATCGCCCGCGCAACCCTCTGCGGACTTTGGGCTGGTCGACCTTCGAAAACTCGTGGTTTTTTGCGATTTTCAAATCGCCCGCGCGACCCTCTGCGGACTTTGGGCTGGCACCCTCAAAAACTCGTGATTTTTTGCGATTTTCAATTTGCCCGCGCGACCCTCTGCGGAGTTTCGCGTGGTCAAATCGCTCTCGTCGTGGCGCGGCGCGCATTTTGTTGAGGCCGTAAGCCCTAAACCGTTGCCGAGCCAGGGGGATTTGCTCCAGAGCGCGCTAGATGTGAGCTCGAAGCGTTGCCAAGCCATTGGGATTGCTTCTGACACGTTTCTCAAGAACTTCTCGCTGAGCGCTCACGTGCGGGCTCAACATTTTTCATTGAACTTCTGCTATCAAACATGCTAGTCAAAAACTTTGCTTTCGAAGCTTTTCTCGCGCAAATGAAAAGATCCCGTAGCCGATGGTTGCGATTGAGAAACGCGCTTCTTTGGCCGCGACGATCTTCAATTTGTCGCGAAGATGTGGCTGCCCAATGAAATGGGAGCTTGGGTGGGTGGTGTTTTCAACCAGCAACTGTGGATGAAGCGCTCCATGTGATTTGCTATCCTGGAATTTGGATTGACCCTAAACCCTAAACCCTAAACCCTAAACCCTAAACTTAAAGCTCGCGACGACTGACCGCTCGCTTAGAGCGCCATGGAGTCGTGAGCTTAGCGCCCGGGCAATAGATCCAAGCTATTGCCAATAAAGCGCCAGCAGCTATGCAGCTGCCCCAAGGGCCTCCCTTCTCTTGGGACCGTGCCTGCAGGCACAGAATATGCGAAGCAATATTCTATTACCCTAAAACCTAGGTCCCAGACCCTAACCTGGCCTTGAAGCGCGTCAAAGCTCCCCTTGATAAAACGGCCATCGGCTTTGATAAAACGGCCATTGGCCTTGATAAAACGGCCGTTGGCCTTGATAACATGGCCATTGGCCTTGGTCGCCTTGATAAAACGGCCATCGACCTTGATAAAATGGCCCGTCGGGGCTGGAAATGGCTTGGCCCGGCCGCTGATAAATTCTTTATACGGGGTCATAGGCGCCTGGCCATCCGTAGCCCAAATCAGATCTGGCCATTGGGCTGCCACTCGGCAAAAATCCTTGATAACATCAAAGGGTCTGCCCTTTCGGCCGCGCGGCAAATCTGTTCCGGCCTTGCAAAGCTTTGCCTAACAAGGCGAGGCACGCCTGCGACGAAATCGTTGAAGCCGTGGCCTGCGCTATGGCCCCCAACGCTCACGGATTGCAGGAGCCGCGCCCTGAACGATGGCCCCTATAACTGATCCGTCGCTGCCGCCTTGCGCTTTGAACGCAGCCAGCGAACGGACGACGGCTTGTCGCCAGCCTCTGCGCAACGCAAACGGCCGACGGTTGTTGCCGCGCCTTTGAAGCAGATCGCCCG